GCTACAAAATATCTCTCCAGGGCAAGAGGATGTGAAAAAAAAAGCTTCCAAAGCCTTAAAAAATATCCACTTTAAAGTAACTAAAACATAAGAAAAGTAATTGAAATTTAAGCAGGATGTAGGGTAATTTCCCTCCACAGGAGATGTGTTTTCCCTAGCTAACACTTTCTTCACTCATCTCTGCTAATTTGATTAATCATTTTACAGTGGTAGTTCAGTTATTGCGCTGGAATCTAGGTATGCTCAATGTGAATTTTACCTGTAGAATAAATAATGTTATCCAAGAACAAAAATGCAGTGTTTATGTGATACAGTCTTCCTCCCGTAAACTCACGTTGCCTTTTAGTATTGGGCCTCTTTCTTAACTTCAAGGATCAGTTCAACTTTCTTGCAAAATATTTTCTAAAACTTTATAAACATGTGAATTGGACTAGCAGAGCTGTAGTTACTGGGAACACTTGTTCTAGTTATTAAATCAAGTGGATGAGTTAGATGTGGGTAAGATGTGGGTTGCTCACTTTTTGTGGATTATGTATATCTCATAACTGCTTGATTTGGCTTTCTTATGCTGATATACTTTAATGAATACTGTCAGACTATAATCATGCATTTCCACATCCAGTATGATGATTTCTAGTCTGTGTGCTCATTTCCTGTTGATGTTTGCTTGTGTTCAATCTCGCTATTATAAAAATTTGAGATTAAGCACACAGAGTGTATATCATATATTTAAGTCTGAAGCAATCCTAACTGCATTGTGGATATCTTTTTGTCAGCTCTGTTTTTCTATTATTTTGTTAAGGGGATTAGTCATGTCGGATCTCAGAAATATGCTGTACAAGCTTGTAACAATAAAAACAAAACCCAAATCAAATAAAAATAAATATTTAAGGTAAAACTGTCTTATAACCTTAGAACATCAGAGATATCTCACTTTTAAATGGGGGGGGGCTGTTTGTTTATTTGTTTTCTAAAAACATACTCAAATCAATGCCTAGTGAAAAACAAGATTGCAAACGTGAGTAACAAGAAAAATATTTTAATACGCTGCTTCTCCCCCATTTTGTTTATGAGGTAGTTAGGGAGACAAAAATATACTTTTCATAAATATATTCAGGGTTTTTTATAATTAGCACATGCTTTCTTATAAAGATTCTGATTTGCAATGTGATTATTATCACAGTGAAATCAGAAAGATATTAATTTTTCAGAGATCTATTTATTAGTGTTTTTTTCATTTCTATGTTGGTTTCACAATGTTGTTTTATTGAGAGCAGGGTGGAGGAAGAATTAGGAAGGGAAAAATATATAATCCAGCAATGACAAAGGAAGAGGTCGGTTGGTATCTAAATGAAACTAAAACATTTGCCTCCTGATGTAACTTAGACATGTTTAATGGAAGAAGCATTTGTTTTCACCTTCACAAATATATGAAGTACTTTGAGTTACTTTCAGTTAGAGAAAAACTCTTAATTTACCAAATAGCATTTCCCAAAAGTGCCAAAGAAGTTTATCAGCATACTGCAATACAAAATCCTTGACTGACAGGGAACTGGAATAGTTGGCCTATTACTATCAACTTAAAATTATCTAACATTGTGGTATTTAAATAAAAAAGGAAAGGAAGTGAAATGCCAGAGCTCTTGCATGATGACTGAAAAATAGTCATGCACAGTGAGTGTTAGATGTCTACCCTTTTCATAATAGCATTTGTTTATTAGGAAACTGAGTGAGGAGAACATTGTGGCACAGCTACTTTGTCCAGCAATATGAGGTTGTAGGGCTTGCTGAAAACATAGGGAGAGAGCCATGGGTTCAGAGTATTAAAGCACTAATATCACTTATAGTGCCAATCATAGTGTCTACTGCCAATTCAGGAACCAAAGCATGTGAAGAATTCTGTAAAGAACTAAGGAGATTTATCTGGTGAAGACTGCTGAAAGAAGATGATGCCCATTTCCCAAGTCCTAATAAATTTGGGTTGACAGCCTAACTGAAGAGATTGCCTTAGGAAAAAGCTTGCATTCAGGGCATGAGGTTAACTGAGGAAAAGACAAATCTAAAACTGAGGCATATGACTTAATGGTGCAAAATTTGATTTTACAGAGAACCATTCTGACAGAGAATCAGGAGCTAGAGGGCTGGTGCTATAAGAAGATTTTTGTAGACTCTTTTGTGATCAAATATCCACATGATTATAAAAAGCTTAGATTAGCTATTTGCCTTGCCTATGTAGCAACACTGAAAAATAAAGTGGTAAATCTATGGAGATATAGTAAAAGATCAAGAGAACCATGGCAAGGTTCATTAAATCACTGGATATCTGACAATTCCAGGTTGTTTCACTACCATCATTTTCATCAGTACGACAGAGAAGCCATCACACTTTTTTTCCTCATGCTAATTGTCATTATTTTCATTTTTAAGGGACTTGTTGTACCATGTGCTCAGTACAAAGCATAGTCCTTGAGCTGAAGAAATTTACTCCAGGAAATAGACACTGAACAGGGACAGTGAGCAAAGGAAACAGTAACTGGGTAACTGTTATGGTTTTAAAACACTTAATACTGTTATTAAAATTGCTAAAGTTACTGTAGAAAGTTCAGAGAACTGAGTCTGTGAAGGATTCAAATGAGGGAAAGGGAAGTGACTTGATGAATCTGAGAGGGAGCAAGTGTATGAGCAGTGAGTGGGCTGCAGCTGAGAGGTACTAAATGGGATCTCCATAACCAACACAGCTAGGAGAAAAGCCAAATGTAGATGTAGAGCTAAATGTAGAGAGAAAAGAAACAAACATAAAGCCCCTACAAACTGGGTATGGGTATATTACGTGGAAATAAAAATAAAATAGGTCAAACAAATGACACTGTGAAAAGAACACGGGCATTTAAAGTATGAAGTATCACGTTCTTTAAGAATATCTATATAACAGTGATCTTTTGAACCATGGATTATTTCATGGCAGAAGAATCACTTCATTATGTTTTTATGTAATTAAAGATGTTTAAGGGTAGATTCTGAGAAGCTTAATGCATATAAGTACTGTCTTATTCCCACGCCCTGTGCTGACAGAGGCTATCCTAGCACAAATAAAAATGGCATTATTTCTGCTTATGTTGTGAAATGAGAATTTTTTTCAGGCTGAATGGAGAAGTCAGAATCTGCCCCCTTTTTAGTAGGTTTAAAAGCTTTCAGGTCCTCCAATAAATTAAAAAAAAATAAAAAATAAAAAATGAATGATAATTATCTAGTCAAATTTGTGTATTGGTCTTCACAAACTTTATGAGAAAAGAATCAAAACTGTTATGAAATTATATCTTTTTCCTGTAGTCTATTTATGCTAAATGTTATCTAGTATATTTAGTGAATTGCAGACTCCTAATAATAATATCATGATTCTCTGCAGGCAAATTTGTTTCCTTGAGCATTGCTTCTATTTTAAGCTTAGGAAAAACAGTACACAACATACTTATGGCTTCCAATATTGTTTTCTGGGAAAAGAGAGGAAACTATAGTAAGAATTCCAGATAAAACCATCTAACAGAAATATTTGCAAGACAACTAAGTTATATTTTAGACATTCATTAAAAAAAAAGTTACTTTTATTTTTATTTATTAATTAGTGCTTCCCAGACAAACAATGTGTAGTTGGAACACCTTAAGTCCTATGGAGAAGGATAATCTTTCCTCAAGGATTATGTTTTAATGCTTTTTTCAACAGAAAAATTAAACCTAAATTATATTTAATAGTCTGACACAGAGCCACATTCAGTTTAGAGTTGCAAAAGGTATAGTAACTGTCAGGAGAGACAGCTGATTCAGCTGCATAAACTGCATTTATTGGGAAAATAATTCCAAATACTATTAATAAATCTTTTTTGTGTCAATTTCTAGGACTCATTAATTTGGTCTTTTCTATAAAAATAGAATAATAAATATACAAGACAATTGTTAGATGACCTGAATTATAACACATGCATTCTTCTGCATTTCTTGTCCCTGAAACAAATAATTTTATACATTAAATAGCCTCTCCTTACTTGCATTTCAATAAAATTAGCCCTTATGATCTTTTCTTACTTAATTTTTTATCACTTCATCTGTGATTCTTTGCATTTGTATTTCACTTATTAGCTTATTCAGCTATTTTTTAATCTAAATTTTAATGTTCAGCACACGCCTCTTATCAAGAGTGAAGCTCATTTTGCACTACTGAAGTAGACCTTCATTATCTATTCTAGTATTCACAAGAGTCTGGCCTGTTTTTTTTTTCCCTTTCCTTTCGGTGCCTTTCTATGTTTAAAGTTTTCTTTTGCTATTTTAAAGGAACTATACACAAAATCCCACTGGAAACAGTCTGATTACTGCTCTCATGTAGTAGCTAGGCAACTGGCAACAAGATCTTTTGCACAGATAGAAGCATTTGCCCTTTTTCTGATTTTCTGGGAAGAAGAGTAAAAGGAGCCAGTGTGCAGCAGGGATTTAGCAGTAAAGTGAGCAGACAGGTGATCTTCCTTTTGAGTTACAGCCATACTACATTTATACGCTGCACTGATATCTATACACAAAGTCAAGAGGGGAAGGTGGTTTCTGAAGAGAAACACAAAGAGCCATGAGTCCCAGTTGGTCCACTTTTACTCACATTTGCAAATTCAGATGAACCTACTGATGGATTATAGAGGCTTTAGAAAACAATAAATGTTAGAAATGTATAAGCAAACTTTGTACATACAGGGCATCATTTCTTTGGAAAAATGTCATTGCTGTTAGTTTTCACAGTGTCTTTTTATATTTGTTCAACTTGGCTGTCTGGAACTTGACATGCTCCATTTCTGTTAGAAAGGTGTTATGGATCTTCCTGCAAGAGTAGGAAAGAAAGAAAACTTCTCAGCATGCATAGCATTCAGATTAAAAGAATTCAACCATATTGGTTGAAAACACTGTATGATTTTATTGTTACTTTTTCAAATAAGTAACTTCCTATTTTTGTTCTATCACAGGTACAGGAATGGCTGTGCTTAAACTGCCAGACCCAAAGGGCAATGTCAGGACAACTTGGAGATATGGGCAAGGTGCCACTTCCAAAAACAGGCCCTTCACAACCAGTATCCAAACCACCTGCTACTCCTCCAAAACAGCCTATGCCTGCTGTCTCACATTCTCCTCAGAAGACTTCCACACCGCCTACTCCAGCAGCAACGAAGCCGAAAGAAGAACCAGGCGTTCAGAAGGAAGCTCCAAAACTTCAACAGGGGAGGCTGGAAAAAACATTGTCAGCTGATAAAATCCAACAAGGGTTTCAAAAGGAAGATGCAAAACTTAAGCAGGGAAAACTTGTCAAGACATCCTCAGCTGATAAAATCCAGCGTGTTTCTCAGAAGGAAGACCCAAGGATTCAGCAAACAAAGCTGACAAAGACAGCCTCATATGATAAAGTTTTGCACGAAGTTCAGAAGGAGGATGAAAAGCTTCAAGAAGCAAAACTAGCAAAAACATCCTCAGCTGATAAAATTTTGCATGGAGTTCAGAAGGAAGACATAAAACTTCAAGAGGCAAAATTGGCGAAAGTACCTTCAGCTGACAAAATTTTACAGGGAATTCAGAAAGAAGACCCAAAACTCCAACAGATGAAAATGGCAAAGGCACTGTCAGCTGACAAAATCCAACCTGCAGCTCAGAAGGAAGATGCACAACTTCAGGAAATCAAAATGCCAAAGGCAGTTTCAGTTGATAAAATACAACATAGGATTCAGAAAGAAGATCCAAAACTTCAACGTGAGAAAATTATGAAAACTTCATCAGTGGAGAAAATCCAAGAGGAACATCAAAAAGAAGAAACAAAAATTCAGAAAGAGAAACTGTCAAAGACACCTTCAACAGATAAAATTCCTGTAACAGTAAGTTCAGACCAAAAGAAACCACTAAGCACATTGGAAGAAGATAAAAAACCTGTGCTCCCAGAAACAAGCACACCACATCCAGAGGACAAAAAAGAACAAATTAGAGCTGAGATTAAAGACCATATTGCTGAACAGAAAGAAGTTGAAGCACCTTATAAGGGACTGCAAGCTAAGGAGCAAGAGGATTTTAAGAAAGAGGATTTGACAACTGGGATTTCACAGACGGTTTCGAAAGCTGAAAAGGCTCAGGAAGAAGAAATTCCTGTTCAAACAACACCTTTGCCAGGAACCGAACACGTGGAAGTAGCACGAGAAAAAATAGTAAGTGGCTTTCTCCCTCCCACCTCCCTTTCTCCCTTGCTACAATTTAGAGTCTGATCCTGACAGAACCTCTCCTGTATGTCTTCCTGCTCTTTACTGTTATTCTCTGCACAAGATGATTCTAAATGATAAAATCAATGACTCACCTGGAGTGAAAGTTTAACCAGCGAGTACTGTGCTCTACATGCACCTTTCAATACTTCTTTCCTGATTTTCAGTCTCCGGCAGTTAAGCATTTGAAACTAAGGCAAAGCTCCTGTTTAATAATTTTTCAGATATTTCGGATTTATTTGTCTTGATTTTTAAACTCTCCAGACTTTGAAGATCGGTTGTTGAAATTTGTCGTTAAAGTTGTTAAAGGGTTTTTCTATCAGCACCACAAATTAGGAACTATTTTATGAATTTGGGGATTATGTTATGAAAGTAGCATATTATGAAAATAGGAGTAGATTTAGGAAAGTGTTTAACCTTTGTCAGAATTATGTGTTCAAATAAACCCAGTCAAAAAGGTAGGGGATTTTTTTAATTTATTTTGTTTTGTTTTATTTTTTTCTGATGGTAACCAAGACATTATTATCCTAATTTTTCACTAAAAAATGAAAAAACAAAAAAGGCAGCAACACCCCGTGGTGTTTTCTTAAGTGACCTTAAACACTCATTCCTGACATGCCCCAACAAGTCCCTAAAGGCATGAAAAGACTGAAGTTCTGATTTAGAACAATCAATAGAATGGTTCTTGGAAAATCATAGAGTCATAGAATAGTTTGGGATGGAAGGGACCTTAGATATCATCTCATTCAAACCCCCCCTGCCATGGGCAGGGAAACCTTCCACTAGACCAGGTTGCTCAGAGCCCCATCCAACCTGGCCTTGAACCCTTCCAGGGATGGGGCATCCATAACACCTCTGGGAAACCTGTGCCAGTGATTTACCATCCTCACAATAAAGAATTTCTTCTTAATATCTAATATAAATATACTCTCCTTCAGATTGAAGCCATTTCCCCTTGTCCTGTCCTTACAAGCTCTTGTAAATATTCTCACTGTTGTTTTTGTAGGCTCCCTTCAGGAACTGGGACAATCACAGATATCACTTGTATTTACAGATTTGACATCCTTTGAAAAAAAAAAGGTTACTTTAATATTGAAACATTTTAAAATATTTGAGTCTTTAAGTGTGATTTAAGGAATTATGGATCCATTATTTTTCTTCAAAGCATTTTTTTCTATAATATTTTAAAATGTAATTTCTTCAAAAATTTTTTTAAAGACTAAGCTGACTGCTCATGATTTACAGGTACTTTTCCTGAGAAATCATCTTGCAATATTAAGATGTTCAGTAGCAGTTAGCTGTTTGAACAAGGATGCCTGGAAATCTTAGAGGTTTTTCACATGTTGTTTGTCAGTATCAAACAGCCATCTCGGAACTCACAAATTAACACAGAAGTAGTTCAGCAGATCTACATGAGCACATTGCCATGATGTCAATTGGACATATATTTACAACAGATCAGCTGAATTATATATGTCGCCTTATTACTACCTTCTTATGTTTACTGAGGAATGATCATGTGCTTCGGTTCAGTTACTGGGTAAATATTATTATATTGTTAACAGGGGTCATTATTCTAACACATGCTATTAGTGACAAAACACAGCCCAGAGAGATGGAAAAAGGAGGAAAAAGCTTGTCTATAAGCAGTTTTCTGAATACAAATAAAATTTTTCATTTTGAAAATATAAAATTGAAATCCAGATTAAATAGTCTAGTCAATCGAAGTCTTTTTTTCCCGCTTTGTGAAACTTTTTTTTGATAATGTATATATCTTTATTTCTTATATAAACAGAATGACCTTTTAAAAATCATGAGTTCCTTTGCAAAATAATATTTCTGTTTTCTGCAACAGAATATAATTATGCAAAGTATAAATATTTTTTAATATTTTTTCTTTTAGTCATAGTTTTATTTTAATAAAATTCTGATTTGATTCGATAACCAATGATTTTTTTTATAGAATCATAAAGGTTGAAAGACCTCTAAGATCATGAAGCCCAACCTTCACTACTAAACCATGTTCCTAAGTACCACACCTAGATGTTTTTTGAACACGTTAAGCACTAAGTTTTATATTTTCAAATAATAGTAAAAGTAAAGGAAGAGTAATGATAAATAATATTTCTAAAGCAAAAGTGAAGTGTATTGACATTGACACTGTAGAAAAGCCACTAGAACAGCACAAATACTTTTGACATTAGATCATTTTTGTCATTAGTTAAAGAGGTTGCCTTTACTGTAGTTAAAGTCTCATCCAGGCTGTAGGTTTTATAACTCTTCTTCTTCCTCAGGTCTTAAGAAGATCCTCCCATCGTTGTCTGTATTAGAACTAAATTTGTTCAGTATTAAAAACTCACACTGGGCAAACTTTCAGAGTAAATGCTATTCAAATACTCAGAAAAGCCCAGTAATTCAACATGTATCAAACTACTTCCTACTTTACAAGAAAAAAGTGGATTTTTTTTTCTTATTGATTAGAATGTATTTTTCATTCTCAGGAATAGTGGCATATATATATATATGATCCTTAGCAATATTATTTCTGCAATATTTTGCTTTTCATCTAAAAATCTTGTACTTATGGTATGTTTACAAGTTTAACAATTATGCTACCTTTGTGTATGTGATGGCTAACCCTGTAGATGTAGGTAGTGGCATAGATGTAGGTAGTGGCAATATCCGAGTTCTCAGACTGCAAGAAATAGAGGAAAAAAACCCCAAAGGCCAAATATTATTTATTGTAAGTTACATGCATATTGATCTCAAAACATGATGTGCAGGATAATTTTTGCATGACATTTCATAGGGCAAGCAATGATCGATACAAAAATTATAGAAAATATATTCGTATTTTGGTAGCCTTAAAAAGAAAGCTGGATTTTTCTCATCACATTTATTTCTAGTGATAAAAGAAGTCTGTCCTTATTGTAGATCTTTTTCTCCTTCTTACCGTACAAATTGCAGACTTTCCCATATTCAGTTTCCTGTTTCTCGTAGCAGTCATGTTATGGCATACACTGAGGTTCAACACTAAGGTGGGCAACAGCAATATTCATTACCATCTCCTCTGAAGTTGTTCCTTGACCAGTTGTTATCTACCTTTTTCTGTTTAGTTGACACCTTCTGTCTGTGCTTTACCAGGGACTGTATCATTTCATCTCCCTGCGGAGAACCAAGACCTGAGAGGTTCACTTTCACTAGATGGATGCATTCTGTCCATCAACTCCTAGGAGACCTTCTGGGCTTGAACAATGTTTGTGTTTTTCAGTAGCTCATCTAAATTGATCACAGTATGTTTTGTTGGTTATGTCTTTATAAGTATTAACTTATGGGTCATAAAAGAAAAAATAGCAATCAAGTGTCATAGGTGAAATTTTAGTGATATTTATAGAGGTAAAAATTCCTTGGTTTTAATGATATATTTAATGATGTATTTTTTAAACACAGTCCAATAAATTCCCCTTAAACACTTTCTTCTTTAATAAAGGTAACAAAAATGTAAATATAATACACAACCCCTGAATTTTAACTATGCTTGATTACTGGCTTTTTGTGAAGACTATAGGTAGTCCTGTCCTTAAGGGCTGGAGTATATTCATTTTTCAGAATAGTGAGCACTAAAGTGTTCAAATGATGATGATTCCCAAAGTTGTTTTGAGTACTATAGGTTCTCCATATTTATGTATTAATCACAGCCTTATCATTCAGGAAGTCCTTAGAAATATTTGTTTTCGCAGTGGATTTTTAATTACAATAGATTTTGCTGTGATATCAGACAACTGGGTTTACAGTATTGGGTACAATGATGGGAAGAACAGATGTAGTTTATATTCATTGTAATATCTGACTTTGCAAGGCATATAATAAATTACTTCTTTGAAATGATGATTATTTAATAAAATACTAACTAGTATATTACTGTAATATTAATATTAGTGTTTTAATGTAGGATTGTGTTCAAAGGGTTATGTCTAAAAGCAAGAACAGGTACCTTAAATGCAAATGAAATAATGTAAAAAACCTGACTGGTTTTTAAAAATAAAATAACTGACGATAACAAATATTAAATATTTTGGCAGTAAATGTAATTTTAGAGTGAATAAACATTTGAAAATAGTTGTAATTGATAGCAACTTAACATGAGTGTAAATGTAACTTTAAATTATAACTAACATTCATGATAATTTTCTTATTTATTTATTCCACAGTATTTTTTTTAAATTATTTTTCAATTAAGAGTATTGCCAAGGAAGCTGATAAATTAAAGCTTTAAAAAAATGGTTTGCTGTACTTCAGAAATCATTGAGTCAGATTAACACAGCTAATAAATACTACCTACTTGTATTATTGAGAGCCATAACTGATATAAAAATTACATCATATTATTAAAAGGAGAATTGGGATGCTTGTTCTCAAAGAGGTAGTGGAGATGGGGATATTCATAATATTGTCAGCTAAGAGGGCAGCTAAGATGACCTGTATTTTGGAGAGTGAGCTGTTTTGTTAACTGAATGGTGAGGTACCTTCACTAAGAGCATTTCACTGCTGAGAGAAGCAGGAGGGAAATTGGTGCAGAAATACTTGCTGTAGGATATTTTTAGTACTGTTATTTAAAGGAGATAGAGGCGCTTGTCAGTCAGAATGATGTAGAAGGATCTGGAAGGTAGGATGAATAAGGGTGTTTAATTAGTGATGGAAAGAAAACATTGGTTCTGATGCTCAGTTAGGTGTGCCTGCCTTGTTTCCCTCCTTTGACCAATAGCTGACCCTCCTGCTTTCTTCCCTGCAATTACACTTCCCTACTAACAGCTTACCTGTGCAATTTACTGAGAAACTTCTTTTTTATGAGGTACTCAGAAAATATTTGTACAGTGCCCAGTTATATATATCTGTGGGGACATTCCAAATCGTGTTAAATCATGCTTCAATACTCTATGTGTTCTGTTGCATGTTACAATCTGTAATAGTTCAATAAACAAAATTGAGTTTTGGGTCCAAAATAGGTCCAAAATATGAGAAGATTGACATATTGCTACAATCATAAAAGATTAAATGGGCAAAAAAAAGGAGCAGAAACCAGAAATTCTGCAGACAGTTGTCAAGCCATATTGCTTTGTATCCAGAACCATGTAGAAAGCTTTGAAGCATAGTAATTACAATCTTCATATAAATTAACCCCCGAAACAACTTGTCCCATGGATATGTGAACAAATGACAAATTATCACTAGTAAGTGTTATGAAAAAAATAAATACAGTAACTTTTTATATTGAGAAATAGACTGTCATCTTGTAAACAGTAAAATCAGTGACCATCATGGACAGCCATGTAAAGCTGAGTTAGATTCAATGCAAAAAATAAAAATTTGAGGAACTTTTTTGTATTATTTTAACAGCTTTGAATAGTGAAATTAGTGTTCAGTCTTCAACTGAGACATTAACTCAGCCTTTAGGAAAAAGAATCACATATATTTAATTGCCAGGAGACATTAAGAATTTATATATAAGTATATACATACGCGTATGTATTTATTTTTTTAGGAAAAGGAGGATGAAAAATCAGACACATCAAGCTCTCAGCAACAGAAAAGTCCACAAGGTCTGAGTGACACCGGGTATTCTTCTGACGGGATATCGAGTTCACTTGGTGAAATTCCAAGTCTTATCCCCACTGATGAAAAGGATTTACTCAGAGAAACTAATAAAAAAGACACTATTTCGCAAGAAAGTCCACCAAGCCCCTCAGATCTAGCTAAACTAGAAAGTACTGTACTGTCAATTTTGGAAGCTCAGGCAAGTACTCTTTCTGATGAAAAATCTGCAAAAAGCAAAGTGCTTTCTGAGACATATGGTGAAGAGACAAAAGATCAACATAAAGCAAAGCCTTTGCCAGTCACTCCAGAATCTTACAGTTCAGAGGAGGAAGACTTAGAAGCTATTAAAGAAGGTGAAGGAACCATTGTAGAAGAGGGCAAAGGAAGTGCTTCCTCGCAGGCAGACTACAAGGAAGAACATGAAGGAGACGACGTATCAGCAAGAAGACAACGCTATGATTCCGTGGAAGACAGCAGTGAGAGTGAAAACTCACCTGTCCCAAGGAGAAAAAGAAGAACTAGTGTTGGTTCTTCAAGCAGTGATGAGTACAAACGAGATGACAGTCAGGGATCAGGTGATGAGGAAGACTTCATTAGAAAACAGATTATGGAGATGAGTGCTGATGAAGACGCTTCAGGTTCTGAAGATGATGAGTTCATTAGAAATCAACTGAAAGAGATCAGTGCAACTGAAAGCCAAAAGAAAGAAGAAGTGAAAAGCAAAGCCAAAGGAACAGCTGGAAAACATAGAAGAATGGCACGGAAAAGTAGTGCAGGCTATGATGAGGATGCAGGGAGAAGACATTCGTGGCACGATGACGATGATGAGACTTTTGATGAAAGCCCAGAGCCAAAATACAGGGAAAGTAAAAGTCAAGACAGTGAAGAACTTGCAATAACTGGAGGAGGAGGCCTTCGACGTTTCAAAACAATAGAACTAAATAGTACAGTAGCAAACAAATACTCTGAAGTAACTGAACAACAGAAAGGTATTTTATATTTTGATGAAGAGCCTGAGCTAGAGATGGAGAGTCTTACAGATTCACCAGAAGATAGATCTAGAGGAGAAGGATCTTCTAGTTTACATGCTTCTAGTTTCACACCAGGTACATCTCCTACTTCAGTGTCATCACTTGATGAAGATAGTGACAGCAGTCCTAGTCACAAAAAACTGGGAGGTGAGAGCAAACAACAGCGCAAAGCCAGACATCGGACACATGGTCCTCTTCTTCCAACTATTGAAGACTCTTCAGAAGAAGAAGAACTACGGGAAGAGGAAGAACTTCTAAAGGAACAAGAGAAACAGCGTGAATTAGAACAGCAACAAAGAAAAAGTTCTAGCAAAAAATCTAAAAAGGACAAGGATGAGCTAAGAGCCCAGAGAAGAAGGGAACGTCCAAAGACTCCACCAAGTAATCTTTCTCCCATTGAAGACGCATCTCCAACAGAAGAATTACGACAGGCAGCAGAAATGGAAGAGCTGCACAGATCTTCCTGTTCTGAATATTCACCCAGTATTGAGTCAGATCCTGAAGGATTTGAAATCAGCCCAGAAAAAATAATAGAAGTACAAAAAGTTTACAAATTGCCTACTGCTGTCTCTCTATACTCACCAACAGATGAACAACCAGTTGGACTCCCAAAAGAAGAAAGTGGTCAAAAGACATTGAAAAGTGCTGAAGAGGTATATGAGGAAATGATGCATAAGTCCAAATCATTTCAAATTGCAAATGAAAAAGATGAAATATTTGAAAAAGAATCTTTATATGGTGGAATGCTTATAGAGGATTATATTTATGAATCTTTAGTAGAGGATACTTACAATGGAAGTATTGATACTAATCTTGTCATGAGACAAGATGAGAGCAGTGAATATATGCAACAGAGAGGAAAAGAGAAAAAACCAAGAGCTTCAGAACAGGTCTATGATGAAACACAGAAAGTTACTGATCTAGAGAAAGACTACTATAATGTTGAGACTTTACATACTATTGTGCCTCAAGAAGATATTGTTTCTAGTTCTTACATTATTCCAGAAAGTCATGAAATAGTTGTATTAGACAGCACAGTAACTTCTACCACCGAGGAAAAGCACTTGTTAGATGCAGAAGCTGCTTATGAAGAGCTTATGAAAAGACAGAAAATGCAGCTAACCCCTGGCTCCAGTCCAACACAACCAACTTCAGATTTCATTCCCACATCTGATACAAAGGTATCTGGTGTTGGAGAGATAGTGGATAGTACATCTTTAACATCAAGCACTACTTCAGCAATCTCAGATATATCACCTGTCAGTAGCACAACACTTTCTATTCCAGATGTTAAAATAACACAGCATTTTACAGCAGAGGAAATTGAAGATGAATACTTAACAGATTATGCCAGAGAAATTCAAGAAATAATTTCTCATGAAACATCAATATTGACATATTCTGAGCCATCTGAAGTTGCTGCATCAGTTTTACCTTCTGATACAGCTTCCTTAACATCATCTACATCTTCAGTTTGTACCACAGATAGTTCATCACCTATAGATAGTGCAACCACAGGTTTTATAGGTACAGCAGATGCTGTAAGTAAACCAGCAGATGCTGAAGGTATCAGTACAATAACCCAGGTTCCCCTAACGTCTGCAAAAGAGTACTCTGAAGTGAGCATGCCTTATGAATCTATTGATGGAGCCACTAAAAAGCCTTCCATAGCATCAGATAAGGAGAGTGTGGATCAAACTGCAGTTTGTTTGCCTGAAACTACACCTTCAGTAGTGACAACTACAGTTGCAAAACCCAAGGAATATGTGGCTGATACTGTTTCCTTTGATACCTCCAAAGCAGAGAAGGAAGCAGCTAGAAAAATGAAAAGTACAATAGAGGCTGGAAGTGTCAAAATTCATCATGAAGAACCACACAAAGAATTAGGTGTTGATATGGCAAGGATTGATTTGACTAGTGTTACATCTGAGCAACCACCTATATGTATAGCATCATTACCAGTTACAGAGCCTGCATCAGAAACATCTTCTGTACCCACTCCCAGTGTTGTAAGTAAGACCAGCATGGTCTCTGTGCCTTCCTCAGCTCCTGCTGTTTCAGCCAAAGTATTCTCTCTTTTTAGAAGCTCTTCTTTGGATTCTCCTGCACAACCTTCTCCACCCCCACCTCCTCCTCCTCCACCACCACCACCACCTCCACCACCATTACCACCTCCACCTATTTTACCCAAGCCAGCCATTTATCCCAAAAAGAAGTCACAGGTTAAGACTACAGCAGCAACAGTTCCCACAGTGGTCCCTTCAGTCACAACTGTTCCAGCACTAGAGTCCACAGCTGTATTAAAGAATCATGTGGTACCTATCACAAAAACATACACTCCAACACCACCTCCTGTACCACCTAAACCATCTTCCATCCCAGCAGGACTTGTTTTCAGTCACAGGCCCACTGAAGTAACTAAACCTCCAATTGCTCCTAAACCAGCAGTACCTCCACTCCCAATAGCTGTTCATAAGCCAGCAGAAACACAGCCCAAACCAGTAAGTTTGTCATTGACTTCAAGTATGACTCTGAATTTGGTCTCCACAGCTGAGTACAAAATACCATCACCCACTTCCCCTTTGTCTCCACACTCTAACAAATCTTCACCAAGACTGGCAAAACCCTCACAGGAAACATATGTTGTCATCACATTGCCATCAGAGCCCGGAACTCCCACAGAAGCTATAACTAGTCAGGCTGTTACCAGCTGGCCTTTAGAAGCACCTCCTAAAGAACAGATTCCCCAGCCTATGCAACCAGTTTTTACTTCACCCATGAAAACTATGGAAATTCAAAGTACGGCCGGTCAGAGTATGTATATTTCAGGTGCTTTGCAAGCTATTCCTGTGGCAACACAATCGGCTTTTGAAAAAATACCTAGTTCAAAACCAGAAGTAGTAACCACAGAGGTAACCAAGACCACGGTGTCTGTGGTTAAGGGTCCAGTGCCTGGTTATGGTTTAGGTAGTGTTGCTATTACTATACCTCCAGAGCCACTACATATAGTAGATCAACCCAGATATAGAGAGAACGGAAGATTCCATCCTTTGGGTGATGTCATAGATCTTCGCACTTTAACTAAGATGGACGTTGAAATGAGAGACAGCTGTATGGATCTGTCTGCTGTTTCCATGGACGTGAGAAGGCAAATGCCAGTGAGTGACACAGGTGGGCGCCCAGTAAGTACTGTCCAGCCATCCATAATAAACCTGAGCACTGCGTGTGTTGCTGATCCTTCCCTGTCTGTAGTCACTGGGACAGTAACAGTAGTGACCTGCACTGCCACTGTGAGCTACACCACCAGTACAGACAGCCTTGTGGATCTGGGACATGCAATGACAATACCGCTCCAGCTGACAACATCAAAACATTTTGAGCCTCCATACAGAGTAACAAGCAGCCAGGCTTTCTCTGCAGGTAGAGATGAAGTGCCAATAAATTTATCCCTAGGTACTTCAACACAGGCAATGACATGGGCTACTACAAAGCCTGTTACTGTACCACCTGTTGGTGTTACAAATGGTTGGACTGATCTCTCCACTTCTCAGGAGCCAGCAGAGAGTGGAGCAGTTGACCTTAGCACTACAAAATCCCACAGAACAGTAGTAACAATGGATGACACTACTTCAGGTATCATAACAACAGTAATAGAAGATGATGAAAAGCCTGTAGATCTGACTGCAGGGAGAAGAGCTGTCTGCTGTGATATGGTTTATAAATTGCCATTTAGGAGCTGTGCAGCACAGCAGCCACCTACTACACTTCCTGAAGATCGCTTTGGCTACAGAGATGACCATTATCAGTATGATCGTTCAGGGTCATATGGCTACCGAGGAATGGGAGGTATGAAACCATCTATGTCTGACACAAATTTATCAGAAGCTGGACTGTTTGCATATAAAAGCAAGAATAGCTTTGATTATCGAGTTGGGGCAACTGATACAGCAGTAGATCTTACTTCTGGAAGAGTAACTACAGGTCAGTATGACACAGCAGCAGATCTTTCTTTGAAATATAATTTTGATGTTCCTCACCTCATTTCAGGATAATTTTTTTATTGTTTTTCCCCTCCTTCTGTTGTTTTGTTTTCTTTTGGACAGTGTGACAAATTATGCTGGATTACACGTGTTTTTCATTTCTTCATTTTACATATGTGTTTGCACAGAGGTGCCTGCATGTGCCTGCATGTTCAGAAATGCTGTTTCCTTCACATCTAAAGTAGATCATTAACCTGAAGATTTGCATGCGGTTTCCCCTTCCCATTTATTTCATCAAGATGGGATGACTTTCAGAATCCGCAAAGCAGCATTCTTTTGTGGGACTGGACTGTAACTTTGCCCTGTAATTTCAGGTGAGGTTATGGATTACTCAAGCAAGACTACTGGTCCATATGCAGAGACTCGGCAGGTGGTTTCTGGCCTCGGGCTCAGTGCACCACAGTATTCCCAAGCAAGAATGGTATCATCTCTGGGTTCCCAGTTTGGCGTTGGAAGTGTTTTAAGATCATCCAATGGTGTTGTTTATTCTTCAGTAGCAACTCCAATCCCATCCACATTTGCCATCACTACACAACCTGGTTCTATTTTCAGTACAACTGTCAGAGATTTACCTACTCTCCAAACAATTGACTCGGTGCCCTCTTTATCAACTTTGCAACAGAGTCAACCTCTCCCAAGATCATACAGTTTCTTAACAACTGTGGCAGCTGAAAAAGATAGTGCAATTACTGCCATTGATATGGAGACAAGGTTACCACCTCATACTGTAGAAACTATTACCACTGAGCCAACCAGCTTGATACCTACTTTAACTACGGCATCTGAAGTTTATACAGATGTAATTGATGATGAGGTTGCCCTTCTCATTGCCCCCGAAGAAGGCAAACAGCAGCAGCTTGATTTGGAGCGGGAACTTCTTGAGCTTGAGAAAATTAAGCAGCAGCGCTTTGCAGAAGAGCTGGAATGGGAACGTCAGGAAATTCAAAGATTTAGGGAACAAGAAAAGTTTATGGTGCAAAAAAAACTTGAGGAGTTGCAATCTATGAAACATCATCTCTTATTTCAGCAGGAGGAGGAACGACAAGCTCAGTTTATGATGAGACAAGAGACATTAGCCCAGCAGCAGTTGCAGCTTGAACAATTCCAACAACTTCAACAGCAGCTCCACCAACAATTAGAGGAGCAAAAACTTCGTCAAATATATCAGTATGGTTACGACCCTTCAGGAACTGGCTCGCCACAAACTACCACAGATCAAACTCTTTTGGAAGGACAGTATGCCACTGCAGAAAATGGTCAGTTTTGGCCTACTGATGATGCAACCACTACAGCTTCAGGAGTGCTGGGTATTGAAATTCCACAAAGCCAAGCATGGTACACAGTTCAGTCTGATGGCATTACCCAGTACATACCTAGGTCTGGTATCCTAAGCTCAGTTTCAGAAATGTCTCTTAAGGATATTGATGTTAGAGAGGAGAAGCAATTGAAAAAGAGAAGTTCTATGCCAAAATTACGTGGTCCATATGAGGAGTTTGAGCAGACCCTGGAAGAAGAGCCCCGGTGCTTCAAAAAGATAGTGGACAGTGGAGTGCAAACTGATGATGAAGATGGAGCAGACAGAGGCTACACAAACAGGAGACGGAGAAGTAAGAAGAGTGTTGATACAAGTGTTCAGACGGATGATGAAGATCAAGATGAATGGGATCTTTCTAGCAAATCCAGAAGGAAGCCTCGGATAGGGAAATACAGTGAGAGTACCACTGAGGCAGACAAAACTAAACCATTCTCCAAAGTCTCTAGTATTGCAGTTCAGACAGTAGCAGAGATTTCCGTACAAACAGAACCTGTAGGAACAATAAGAACACCTTCAATCAGGGCCCGATTGGACGCTAAGGTTGAAATCATAAAGCACATTTCAGCTCCAGAAAAGACATATAAAGGAGAAAGTCTGGGATGTCAAAAGTCCCCAATATCTGTCAGCTTCATCTCCTCAGAAAGATAAAAAACGTCCAACACCATTAGAGATAGGATACTCATCCCACCTTCGTCCAGACTCCACATTGCAGGTAGTCCCTTCCCCTCCCAAATCTCCCAAAGTTCTCTATTCACCCATTTCACCTGTTTCACCAAGCAAAGTTATAGAGTCAGCATTTGTACCCTATGAAAAACCCATCACTGATGACATCAGCCCTCAGAAGATGCTGCATGCTGACATTGCCAAGGTTCCTCCAAGCCCAAAGGCAGCAAAGATGATGCAACGCTCTATGTCTGATCCTAAGCCCCTGAGTCCCACAGCAGAAGACAGTTCCAGAGCTCAGTTTCAGTACACTGAGGGTTTTATGGTAAGAAGTATTTGCTTGCCTTTTTTTTTTTTTTTTATAATATGCAATTCTACAGCAATCAGTACAGCATGAGGGCTGACACACTCATTTCCAATACCTGTGTATGTAGGCTTTTTGCACATCCTGCTGAGAAGTCTGGAGGAACATCTGCTGTCTAAAGTAATGGCTATTTCCTTCATTGCTTTTCCTGGAAATAGGGAAATCCATATTACATATTGAACACAAGTTCATGTTCAGAATTTGGAAGGCACTTTGTGTTTTACATGGCAATTCATTGGGCAATATAGGGGTTACATGGCAATATGGGGTTACTGCCAATTGTTTAGAAAATTAAAGCATTTTCTTTCTAATTATACGACATCCAGCTCTTGTGGCACAGTCTGTAATGCATTTACCTTGAAATTACTACACGTGCCTTCTGAAAGGCAGATAACACCAGATTTATAATTGCCTTAGTTAGCTGTCCTTTTTGACCCTCATGAGGTTTCTTGGCCATTTGTGATTCTTTGGATAATCTTGTGTCCCAATGTGTACATCTTTTATCTTTCCCAGACCAAAAGGTCTCATATCTCAAATCCATTATGAATTTGTTTGTTTTGGATAAGGAGGATTATCAAGCAGTTACACAAGTTTTGAGGGCTGTTTCATGTAGGGGTCAAAGAAGACTGACATAATTTGGTTCAAAATTTTTCATTTCTGCGGTATTTCTTTCTCTTAATATTTGGGACTTAATATTTGGGAACCAGATCATTATTTATGAATAAGAGGAATAAGTCTTGGCTAAAAAATACCTTTGTAATTGGATATGTCCTTAGCTGTCCTTTTGTCTAAGACCATTCCCTTCTGTCAGTTGCAGGGTCAGTATTTTACTTGTCAGAACTCTGGAAGAGTTGTCACTCAAGTTCTTCAGCAACATTTATCTTTTATGTTCGGTTATCTGTGAATACAGGAGTTATTAATATAGACTGGACAGGATAAAGAGTGTTTGATAATTTGTGGTGGCTTTCAAATGCAGAATTAGCTGGTTATACCCTCCAAGGTTCCCACTGTAAGCAGTTTCTGCAGCTTCATGTATTTGTACGGATATTAAGTACTTCCCACACTGTTACTGCTTGGAAAAGAGTTGGAATTTTGAAGGGAAAACTGTAGTCGTGGCATTGTCACTCCATATAAACATCATTCCCTAATGCAGGATAAGCACAGAGGGGGAAAGTCACATAAGGATTAAAGTTTCATGTAGGGGATTTGGAACAGCATCTTGAAGAACATTGCTCAGAGACTTTGAGAAAGTGTTTGGTTCTACTCAGCATAGTGAAACTATTTCCGAGAACAAGCTATTCACTTCACTTATTTCATAGATACATATATGTATATATACTTGATATGAATTGTATGCTTTGTAGGATGGATGATACATTCTGTAAGTAGCTGATTGTTTAAAGCTGATTGTTTAAAGCTGATTGTTTACTGTAGAGTTTGAACACATACAGTATTCATTTATGAGACATGGAAACAAAGGGCTTGTGCACCATTGTTTCTTTTTTAGCCACATGTTCTTTACTGTCTTGCCTTGGGCCTAAACAGAAAGGAGCTATATTGTTCTCACTAATATGCAGCCATCAAGAAACAAATAACCCATGTCTCAAAGTAGTTACAGTCTAAATAAATGAGGGGGACATTTTAATGGAAAATGGGGTGCAAGTAGACAAGTGCAAGAACAATGAAAAACTTCCATGAATATGAAGTGGACTGCATTAACTGTGCCATGCAGCACATGGTGAGGAAGCTGCTCTGTAAACCTATCATGACCATAATTTTCTGCCTGCATGTTCTGTTAAGCGTTAAGCTTATTATACTCTCTGATAGAGCTTTATTGATTATGTATCTGAGGTTCAATTATCTTACACTGTGATCAGGTACCTAAAGGAGGAAAAGCCATGTGACCAAAAAAAGAAAATATTTACAGTGAGCCTCGCAGAATGTAATTAATTGACCCCATCAGCATCTGGAAATAGGGGTATGAATTGCTTTTGCAGTTTCTATATCAGTTTAAGTTCTCGAATACTCAGACCAGTTATGTTGTGAAGAAGAGTTCTGCAGTATAAGGTTCAAATTATGTAGTTCCAATAAGACTTATAGTATTCCCTCCAGAATGTCCGTTTGTTTATACCGTGGGTTTAGGACCATATCACAGGAAAGAATGGACAGTGATTTCTTGTTTTGTACATTTTATCACACTCAAAAGTTCTCTGAAAGCAGTGTCACTGTTGGCAAAGTGTAAACCTTGTTGACATTTTTTCAACTGTAGATCTCTGTACTTAGAGCCACATGTTGTTATTCTTAAGTTTAAATACAGGATCACTTTTGGATTATCCTGCTAAGTGTGAAGGTGAGATGCTACCTCAACTGTAAAATATTTTTGGCACTGGGACTGTTTTTTTCATTCTTTGTTTGTACAGTGCCCACAACAGCTAAAGTCTTTGTTAATTCTCTGTGGACACTTTTGTTTCTCCTGACTGAAGAGAAATTTCCTAGTTATAATAAGAGAAAGGTAGAAGGGATTAATTCTGTCATTGAAAAAAGTGAAGTTCAGTACAGAAAAACTTACAAAACAGCTCACTCTGGAAAAGAGAATTTACTAGAGCTGAACATAAAAGAATAAAATGGAAATGCAAGATTGATCTTTCACTACCTTAGGGAAATGGAGTGTGTATATGAATATTTTTTGCATGGATGAATATCCCATCACTTTTTTAATAGTTCATGTTTCAGGGTTATGTCTTTGTCTGCATTCATAAACACTGCAGGTGAAAAGGGTGTTCCTGTGTTCATGTACACGATTCACAGGTTTTGGTTTTTTTTAATGGCAGTTGAGCCAAAAAGTTGATCCTTATGCAATTGGTAGGACTAAAAGAGAAAGAATAAAATTGATCTCTCTAAGATTTACAATGAAATGATACCTTGTCCTTCAGGCAGTGCACTTTCATCATTCATGCATTTCTTCCAATGGAAAATGGTTTTTTGCAACATTTCAGGGAAAGAGATTATGGAGACTATGGCTAGGATGATTAAATTATCTATGTCTTAGAACTGCTTTAAATATAATTTTCTTCTTTAATGCACCTTTTAAAGGGAATTATTGCAATGTTTTATCTAATCTAGTATAAGTGAAAAGCTGAAAAGTAACCTGGTAGCTAATCAGATAATAATAATATCAAAAAATCCAAATAACATTGGTTTCAGAGATGGCACATTTAATTTTCAGATAACAAGTTATGTGTTTACATTACATTTTCATTTACTTGTCTATCATACTCATTGTCTCTGTGAACACTTGAATGAGCATAGATGGTGGCTTCATACTAATCCAAAGTAACAATATTACTTATCATTATGTTTCCTTTTGTAATTCTTATATGCTGTACATTTCTATGATATATATTAGTAATCAAGTGTAGTTGAATCGAAATAATTGGGAACTGTAGCTTGTCAGCACCAAAAAAAGTTATGAAAGCTACCCATTTGGAATTGACATTTTCAAAGGTACTTAATTTTGCTGTTTTGTGAGCTTTGTTTCTCTTGAGCTCCCCATGTCAATGAGCTCCCCAGCACTGATTTTGATGGACTGTCCAGTAGTCCAGCATGGTAGGATTCCATGGAGTGAATAGCCATAGAAGTGTTTTCCATAAGAGCACCTGAAAGTGTCAGTAGAGTTTGGAAATGGGAATTGAAATTCATTCATTCAGCAGTAACAAAAAAATTGTGAGTACCTGCCTAGTTTAATAAATAACTTGACACCAGTGAATCACAGAATCAAGTCACATGCCAGTCACAGTCATCTTTGACACTTATACATATTGTATATGTGTAATCAAAGATGGAAGTTGTCTTCCTTTTGCCTTTGGATGCAAAATGCCTGCTCAACTAAACTGAAGCAAATTGTAGAAGATGTTGCACATGACCTGTCACACAAGGAAAATGTCTACAACTAAGTAGTGCACAGACTCAACAGAAGTGTTTGTATTTGTGAAATTAATGCAAAGACACAGCTGTCAACAGCCTGTCAGCTTTAGGGTCGAAACTGTGCATTTAAATTTTAACACTTAGAATAAATTCAATCAGTATGTTTGTTAAGAGAGTTAACAGAGACTTTTCTTGAAATTTTTATCTGATGTAATTTGTCATACTTGAAAGGCAAATATAATTCAAATCTATATAATGTAGTAAAAAAAAGATAATTATTTTAAGCTAAATCCCCCCAAAATATGTTTTTATTTAGGTAAGAAATGCAGGGCTTCATCTATTGTTGTAATAAGAGCAGAATTGATTTTATACTGATTTTAAAGAGTGTAATTTTTTTTAGATGGCTTTAATAGCATATTAATATGTTATCTTCTATGGTATTCTGAAGTTTTCAACTTTAAAACTGAAGGTTAAGACTTCAGTGTTTTTACAGAATCATAGAGTCATAGAATGATTTGCGTTGGAAGGGACCTTAAAGATCATCTGGTTCCAACCTCCCCTACCATGGGTAGGTAGACCTTCCTCTACACCACGTTGTTCCAATCACCATCTAACATGGCCTTGAACACTTCCAGAGATGGGGCATCCACAACAGACCTTTGTAGTGTCAGATATGATGTACATCTGGACACTGAGGAGGGAGAACAAGGTTGTTACTCCCAGTAGAATAAAACCCTTCCATATATCATATACATGATGTTTTGCTTGTTTATGCAGGACTAAGCTGATCACCAGATGTGTAGTTCAGCGAGGAATGTTCTGCTTAGGTAATGGATAGAGAGAAAGAGTAGGGATAGTTACCTGGTTTGAAGTTGGGTATTTCTGTTTGCTTACCTTTCTCAGAAGCAAGGAGTAGGTTCATTTCTTAGTGTCATGCCAGAATTTCAGGTAACATAATTCTTCTATCATTGTAGCACAGGATATTGCTCTTTCCCTTGGTTTCTCATTGTCTGAGCTTAATTCCAGCTAAAAGGAGT